GGTTCAGTTTAATGATGTCGTCCAGGGACATGTCCATTTTGTCGGCCATGGCGGGCGCGGAATCGGCCTCGGCTGGAGCCCGCGCGTCAGCACGCCGGCGCGTCACTTCCGTCGCCGTGAGGGGCCTTCCGGAGCCGCGTCCTCGGAGCGCCTGCTGATTGGCTGCGAGCCGGACGCCGAGAGCGCAGGGCAGAGCGACGCTTGCGCAGTAGCTAGCAGGGCTCAGCGGGCTGCTCTCGAAAGGTGCCAGGCAGCGGTCGCGGTCGTTTTTATACCTTCCCGCGCGGACGCCGGCGCTGCCAACGGACGGGCGGGCGGGGCCGTGTTGATTAGGTCGCACAAGGTGCGAGGGTTGGACGGCAGCCGTTGGGGGCGGGGCCTGGGGCGGGGCGCTCCTTCCCCGCGCTGCTTGCCGAGGGTTGGGGGTGGCATCTCCGCGGTCTCCCCTGGGCCGACCCGGCGTCGCTGCGGAAGCCTGGGCTCTCGGGGCTGTAGGTGCTGGGCTCGGCGACCGGGTGAAGGTGGGTTGCCGAGGCAGACAGGGCGGTTGAGGCCCCGCTTGTCCGCTGTGACAGCAGACTCCTTTGGGAGGTGGCCTCCATTTCCCACCTACGCCTCCCGGTGCACCGTTTCTGAACATTCGGTCCTCGGCACTTTGCCGTTGGTTCTGTCACAAGCCGCGAGGCAGGTGGGAGCCCTGAATACACACTGGTTTATTATTTTTGGCGGGGCGTTCTTTCTGGAGCCGAAGGCGCCCACTGAGCGGGAATTTTGGTCTCCCTCCCGTTCTTTTGGCAACTCTCGTTTGAGTAGTTTGGCGGTTGGTTAGTGGGAGTCAACAGCAGCGATGGTGAGGCTGGCGCAGGACCGGGCGCTGTTTGGTTCCGTTGTACGGAGGGTCGCTACGAGCCCGCGGCGCCTACGACAGCAGCGCGTGCCAGTGTGCCCTTGTGAGTTTCGGGATAGAACTTCAGGTCCTTGACTCAACAGAACTCAGAATCCCTGCCGCGGAGTCGGTTCGGACCCATAGCGACCCGTCCTGGGGTTTCCGAGGCGGTGTCTCCCGGAAGTAGATTGCCCAACCTTCGTTCCGAGGAGTGGCTGGTGGGTTTGAACCGCCAGCCTCCTGGTTACAGTCACATGCCTTAGGCACTACTCACCTGTGGTAGGTGCACGGAACACTGGAGAGCCTCCTGTCGCCTTGCACCTGATCCCTGCCTCCGAGCTCCCTTCCTTGGAGACAGGTCTTTGGACAACAGAGTACTGCCTCTGCCACGGTGCCATCTTGTAGGAGGGGTCTGCAGTCCCAGCGGTGCTGACTCTCTTGGGCCCAAGTGCCCTAGCTCTGCAGACCCTTTAGCAAGGTCCTCCTCTTCCTTCAGCCTGACGGCTCCCCACCATGAGGGTGAAGATCAAGTGCTGGAATGGTGTGGCCACTTGGCTCTGGGTAGCCAACGACGAGAACTGCGGCATCTGCCGGATGGCCTTCAATGGCTGCTGCCCAGACTGTGAGTGTCCCCTTTCTGCCCCGAGCTCGGCCTCAGCCCCTCTGGACACAATCCCTGGGTTTTAATTCCTGAAGAGCTGACATCCAAAAAGCCAGGCCCATGTGTGGATGACAATCTAACTCACAGTTTTGTTTTAAAAAAAAAAGGGTGCAGCCTTTCATTGTAATCACACTCAGCTGTGCAATGCAAGGATGAAATCAGATGTTAAAACTTTTTATTTGCACATTTTCAAACAAAAAGGAGAGTGGTATCAGGACATTGGACCCATTATCAGCATCTTGACACCTCACCCCACACACTTCATCCACCTTCAGCTACATCTTGATACCCATCACCAACTTCCCCGTGGCACCGTGGTGACATCTACCTGTGGCAGTAAGTCCCCAGTGTCACCCTACCCCTCCTCTTAGTCCCAGTTGCTGCAGTCTGCCCCGACTGCCTCTGCAGCTGGGTGGTTGGAGCCAGGGCCCCACTCCACATGCTGTCACTGTTAAGGCTCTGTGTTGTAGAGCAGTTTTGTCCTTCCGGGGCCCCAGAATCCTGCTAGGACTTGGTACAATGGGACCCAAGGGATGGCGTTTTATCCCAGTGGCTGGAGCTTTCCCAAGCTTGGCCAGCAGATCTCATGATTTGGGGACTGACACATCTTGATCAGATTTGGCTAATGGGGTGGGGTCTTCGGAGCAATGATTGGGTCTCCTGACCTGGGTGTGTTGGCTGATTGTTGGACAGTAAAGTCAGTTCTGACTCAGCAATCCCATGGGACAGAGTGGACCTACCCCTACAAGGTTTCCTGGCTGTAATTTTTTTCTTTTAATGAAGAAAATTTGTTGTTGTAGAGGACATGCACAACAAAACGTCCACCTGTCCAGCACTCCTCCACGCATTGTCTGTGACACCGATGGCAATCTTCCAGTTATGCCGCCATTCCTACCCTCCTTGTCTGAGTCGTTCCTCCCCCATTAGTATCAATTCACTACCTCTAAGGTTCCTGTCGGGAGCTCTGGTAGCATAGTGGCTAAGACACTTGCCTGCTAACCAGACGGCTGGCGGTTCAAACCCACCAGCCACTCCTCGGAAGGAAGGTTGGGCAATCCTACTTCCGTAGTGATACTGCCTCGGAAACCCAAGGAGGGGTCGCTATGAGTCGGGGCCGACTCGACGGCACACAACAACAACAACAACAAGGTTCCTGTCTAATCTTTCCAGTTGCCGTTGTCGATTTGATTTCACATAGATCGTTCTTAAGAGCTCAGAGCAGACACTTTTAGTTCGTTCAGCTAAACTATTGTTTGGTTCTAAGAAGATTTCGGGGGCTATTTTGGTTTAGTTTAAAGATTATCTCCAGGTAACAGTTTTCAGTTTGTTCACCCGTCGTGGCTCCGTGAAGGCTGGAGTGCACAGAATCTTAATTCTGTTCTTCATTTCCTCCCTTTTGATCAGAATTCTGCTGTAGAATTTTGATCAGAAGTGCAGTAACGGTAGATGGGCACCATCCATTTCCTCTCGTCTCCTGGCAAAGGAGGCAGTTGTTCCCATGGAGGCAACTGGCCGCACATTCTTAGTTCTCTAATGCTGCTATGAAAGAAATACTACAAGTGGGTGGTTTCAGTAAGCAAATTTATTCTCTCACAGTTTAAGTTCTATTTGGATAGAAATCCAAATTCAGGTTGCCAGCTCTAGGGGTGGCATCCTCTCTGTCAGCTCCGAGGGGACATCGTTGTCTGCTTTCAGCATCTGTGCACCTGGCATTCCTTGGAGATCTTTGTGTGTCTTGGCATCAGTCTTCCCTCAGGTCTAGGAGGTTGCTGGTGCAGAGACCCTGGGTCCAAAGGAGGCACTTCTCCCAGCTCCTTTCTTGGTGGTCGTAGTCCCTACTCTCTGCTAGAGTCACTCTCCTTTTATCTCTTGTAAGATAAGATGTGACACAGGCCAAACCCCAGGGAAACGCCCCTTGTGTCAGTTCAGGGCTGTGACCTGATCAAAGGCATATCCTGCCCGGTAAGGCAGACCACAGAACTGATGCATTTGAATTGGGGTGTTACCAAATAATATCGAATGTGCCAGAAGAATGTTTTAGAAGCAAGAATGGCCAGGCTTTGTCTCTTGTTCTTTGGTCACATTGTCAGAAGGGACCAATCCCTGGAGAAGAACATCATGCTTAGTAGGGCAGCGAGAAAGGGCAGCGAGATGCACGGACACAGTGGCTGCAGTGACGGACTGGCAGTGCCTGTGAGGGCTGGTACAGGACCAGGCGCGTTCCCTGCTGTGGTACATCAGGCTGTGGTACATCAGGCTGGTGGGAGTTGGAACCAACTCCATGGCACCCAACGACAGTTCTGGTGGCACAGTGGTTAATCATTTAGCTGCTGACTGAAAGGTTTGGTGGTTTTGAACCCACCAGCAGCTCCATGGGGAAAAAATGAGTCAGTCAGGCAGTCTGCGCCCATAAAGATTTACAACTTTGCAAGCCTTATGGAGCAGTTCTGTCCTGTCCTGCAGGGGTTCTGCGAGTCAGAATGGACTCAGTGGCAGTGTTATGTTTTTTTCTTTGGTTCCCACCCTAATCCCCTTACAACTGATTGGCTGATCCTATCAGATCACGTCATGGGGAATAATTACATGACTGCCCAACCACTGAGACTCATGACCCAGCCATGTGGACACACATTTTGGTGTGTCCCATGTCCTTCTGTTCCTGACCGTCTTCCTCTGTTGTTCCTGGTGAATATGGACCCATTGTGCCTCGGATGGCCGCTGGCCAGCTTCGGAAACCCCAGGCACTACATTAAGAACCTACATTGTAATCTTCACAGAAACAGATGGAAGGGTCCTTGGAGCTGCTGGGTGGGCTGGGTTTGAACTCAACCTTCCAGTAGAAGCTGAGCAATTAAATGTTTACGCCAGCTGAGTAGCGGATGAGTCTGGTAAGTAAATCACTGGAGATCTGGTTGGATTTCACCTGTTATGTTGCCCTGCATAAGGGTCGGTACAGCGGAAGCCTGCAGGGCAGTTCTTGTGATTTCCTGAGCAGGAAAGATACCCACTTCTGGAAGGTGGCTGAGCCATGCCTCTGGGTATGAGCGTACTGTTGAGTCCCTATGTTAGTGGTTGCACCAGAGAGCTACCAGCCCCCTGGCCCCTGCCTCGCTGGCAGGTTCTAGAACTCAAATCCCATACAGATTGTGTTAGAATGGCGACTGCTTGCTGTAGGGCACACACAGACTGCCACCATTGGATATGCAGATTGTTGAGTGATCGTCCATTCTGACGTGCAGAGTGTGGCAGGTCCGAGTGCAGGCTGCAGGCTGCAGGCCACAGTCTGGGACAGCAGGCTGCTCTTGCTGATGTCAGAGTGGCTGAGGCCATGATGAACCGTCTGTCCTGGACGCCCATGGGGGTCAGCAGCTGGTAGAAAGCGTGTGGTTGAACCCGCCGACTCCGTCCAGTGAGCATACTCTCTCAGAGTGTGGGTGTTTGTCATCAGATAAGCTGCCTTTGCCAGGACGGCCCCAGAGTGAGCTCCCTGATGCTGGAGAGGGCTTTTAAAGGTGCAGACACATTTTCTGCAGAGAGGGCGACAAGCTGTCATGGCGGCCGTTCCCCTGACCATGGAAGTCAGGGATCCCTGGGTTGGGCAGAGGTGATGGTCAGGTCCTGGGGACTGCTCAGGGAGACCGAGGAGGAGATGCTTGGTGGCCCAAGACCCTCGCGTGTGGGACTCCTTGTGCTCAGGCTGTTTGCAAAGTTGGCATCTGCAGCTCTCTTAAGAATCACATTGATCACTTTTCCTCCATTACGGCTGCTTCACTCTGCCTTCTGTGGTAGCCGGGGGCACAGGCAGTTCCCATCCTGAGAAAGCGGGCAGATTTAGCACTCCGGAAGTGTCCTTAAGAGGGCACTATTGTCCTAGACACAGCTGGGGGGCTGCGCCCCACCCTGCCCCACAGTGCCCAGCCCCACTGTGCCCCTTCCCCTCTGCAGGTAAGGTGCCCGGAGACGACTGCCCCCTGGTGTGGGGTCAGTGCTCACACTGCTTCCACATGCACTGCATCCTCAAGTGGCTCCACGCACAGCAGGTGCAGCAGCACTGCCCCATGTGCCGCCAGGAGTGGAAGTTCAAGGAGTGAGCCGCCCCCGGGCGCTGCACCCATGCTGCCGCATCCAGACTCGCCGCCCCCCACCTCCACGCTCAGCCCGGACTCGCCGCCCCCCACCTCCACGCTCAGCCCGGACTCGCCGCCCCCCACCTCCACGCTCAGCTGGGACTCATGACCCCTCAGCTCTGTGCCTGGGGCTTTGTCCCTCAGTCCTGTTCCACCTGGAGCCACTGCTCCATGCCCAGGGGAGCAGCCCCCTAGTCCCCAGCTTGGCCTGGCCTCACTGCCCCCTTAGACCCTTCCCACAGGAACAGCCCTCTCCTGACTGATGAGGTTGAAACAAGGACAGTGTTTGTTTTCCTGTGGTAAGCTGATGATTTATCAAGTAGGTAAAGTTCATTAAACTCTCTGCGTCTCGCCAGAGGCCTCCAGGATCTGTTTTCTTGGTGCTTCGATATTAAAATTCTCATGAATAAACATTCCCACAGGCACCTGGGGCTGGCCAGGCTGACTCACAGGCTGTGAGCTGGGAGAACCGGGGACCAGGTCTCAGCTGGCAGGTGCCTTCCAACTGGAGGACCGTGACTGAGCATGGAGCTCCCTCACGCATGAGTGCCCAGCAACGCTCCTGGTTCCATCAGGAAGTCTGTGACCAGCATGTTGGGTGGGTGTAAGGTCAGTGAGGAGCACAGCTCCCCTGTTGGGAAGGGTTGACATGACACAGGACACGGCCTCCCAGGACCCCACTGCCTCTGCAGACAGTTACCTGGGCCCCAGCTGGCTGGTGGCGCCTGAGGTGGCAGCAGGAGTTCACATGCAGTGCAGAGACCCACCCTCACCAGGTGAAAGAGCTTGGGTTACTCGAGGCGGCCTCCAGGCAACCGGCAGGCAGGGCAGCAGTCCAGGGTGGACTTGGAAGGCTGAGATCTTTGGACCCCCCATGGCCTCCTTGATGGAGGTGTTCTGATGTCATGGGACCCCCAGCTCTGCGGTGGGCCTCACTCGGGTCCTGTCCCCAGACTCTGGTAGGCTCCTGCTGCCTTGTGAACCTGTCCTAGGGAAAGCGCGCTCCTGCCCTCCTCTCAGGTATCCTGCCACCCTGGGTAACGGTGCTTTTGGGTCTGAGCCCAGCCACCCCATTATCAGAGGTTAATGGGCCTCCCCTCCTTGACCCTCAGCCCTTCCCCCATGAGGGCCTGGGTGCCACCTGCCTGTGTGGTCCTCTGGGAGCACTTTGCCCTTCTGAGTGAGCTGGCCACCTGCCCAGGGCAGCCCCATCCTGTGCATGTTAGGGGCTGGGGTTTCCTGGGCGGTAACATGTAACGTTCTGGGCTCGTAACATTTGCTGGACTATGTGCTGAGTGAGTGGGAGCAGGACCTCAGATACAGACACACATAGGAAGGGCCTTGATTCCAGGGCAAGGGCCACAGGGACTGGGGCCTGGCGGCTGCCCTTTCCTCCTATCAGCTCCTTTCCTGAGGCCTCGGCTGCCCAGTGGTGGTCCTGTTGGTAGAGCCTTCTCTCGTGGGTACAAAACAATGTCCCCGGACACCCAGGGGCTTTAATGTCTCAGGTCAGATGACCTGGGTCCTGGGCTAGCCAGGCCACAGCCGGGGCCAGTGTCCCAAGAGGAAGGCTGGGGAAAGCTACAGCTTGAGCCAGCCCGGCTCCCAGGGCGCCGACCCGGCTCAGCCTCGTCCTGGGCATGGGGAGACCCAGAGGGGGCCTCTGCGCTCCGCGCACTTCCCGCGCCCGGCGCCGGCCGCCCGCACACCTTCCTCCTCCCGGCGCCGCAGGCGGCACCGCCT